ATTATTAATAAAATTGACTAAAAAAATTAAATTTTATGGTGATAGTGATTATAAACAATTTGTGACTATAAAGAGGTTTATTTCTTATGTTTTAAGTCTGTTTCATAATTTTAGGTGCTTATATAGAGGTGTGACTATATAGGGTGTGATTATATAAAGGTCCGACAGTATGTGCTAGAGCAGCATTAAATTTTATTTGAGTATCATTAGAGAAAATCCAGCCAAAGCCTGATTTGATAGAAGGTGTTTGTGAATAATAAATAGATGTATCAGTATAGAAATGTAAATCATTTTGGAGAAAGTTAGAGAGAAGGTTATATAATTTGATCAGCTGTTCTGCGCTCGCTTGTTGATTAATTGGTGTTAGCTGACAATAATATCCTTAAATGAATGGATTAAATTTTATAAATTCTTAAAATTCTTATCATCTAATTTTTAAAAATCTCAGTAATCACAGCATATTTTATATCTTATTGGCTTGGATTCTATTTAATCTTATTGTTCACTTAAAATAATCACTAAAATTATAATTTTCCGCCCATATGACAATTGAAATAGTAAATCGATTAATCGTAAATTTTTTTCAGAACTTTGACTAAAGATATTTTAATGACTATGTAATTAAATTCATGAAACAATTCATAGATTTTAATTACACGATGATATTTAATTCGGTATTTAATATGCCCAACATAGGATATTTGATTAATATGGAAAAAGAGAAAATTTTTTATTACTTTCATATTTTTTTTTTACATTAAATTAACATCTTGATTATTTACTATTCAGCATATTGTCCTAGCTGTTTTAGTAATTTTTTTGCCGCATCATTACCGAAAGAAGCAGCTAATCTTAGCTTACTAATTCCAAGATCTTGATTTTTTGGAACTTGTAACTTTCCGTTTAAGTATAGGTCACCTAAATTATATAACGCTACATGATTTCCACCATCGGCCGCCATCGTTAAGTATTTAATAAACTCCTGAATTTCTGTTTGTGAAACCTTTCTAGTTTGTCCCGAAACAAGTGAAAATGCATAACGCAACTGTGCTCCAGAGACTCCATTATCAGCAGCTTCTTTAAATAGTCTAACAGCTTCTTCACGGTTTCTTTCAACACAATAACCTTCCCATAAATAGTATCCTTTCCAATATTTTGCTGTTGGATTTCCTAAATTGGCATTATCTTCAAAACATTCCCATGCCTGCTTCCTTTTTCCATATTTCGTATCATTAGGTTCATTTTTTCTTACTTGTTGGTGAATCTTTAATCCTACATCAAGAGGCATTATTTGCTTTATATTATCATCACAAATAGTTAAATCATCAAAATCTCCAAAATCTTCATCTATACAATTCTTAGCAGCAACTGATCCGTCTAAATCTAGTTTTTTGTCAGGATATATCTGCGGCAAGGCACCAGGTTTAACATGTTTTTCATACAATTCTTCTATCCGTACAAGTAACGCTCCCAAATTTATTCGTTGATCTGGATCATGATGCCAAGCTGAAAAAGATATCATGTAGAATTTAAATAAATTAGGTAAGTTATTCATAATATGAAATAAATAATATATATGTACCGGATCTGATGATATCTGCTAATTCGTGTTGAATATCTTTTTCGTTTATATCTTTTACTCTGTCAAAAGAAATTTTCTCTCTATGGCCCTGCGTTACATAATTTTTTATTTCATTAAGCTGATCTTTGCCATATTTACTGTACGGATATTTTTCAAATGAAAGTTCCCACAGCATCATTCCAAAACTTAATAAAAAATTTAATCAATATAACTATTTCAATATTATAAGGAATTATTATTTATTAGGTTACCTGAAAATTTCACATTTTACATCATCATAACGTTCTCCATTCATTTTTTCAGGTGCCATCCATCGCAAGACTTTCAGATCTTGTATTAGGTTAGTTTCATCAAATCCGCGAGCTATATCGAAATTTGCAATTTTAGGTTCATAACGTTCTGTAAACTACAATATTTCAATCGTTATAATAATGGATATTTAATCTTAAATATAAATTACTTATTATGAATTTCTTACCATAATATTTTCGCAACGTATATCGTGATGATACACGTTTACCGAATCTAAAAATGCAATACCACGACAAATATCACGAGCTATAGACACTTTTGTTACCCATCCAATATCACGTTGATCATAAAAATCTTTTAAAGATTTTAACTCAGCCCACTCTAAAACCTGAACATCTTTTCCTTCAATTTTAGATAATCCATGAAACTTGAGAATATACGGTGATACACCTAATTTCCCTAATATTGCAAAATACATCTGATCTCCTGTTTTTTCGTTATTACTTATAGGTTTACATTCGACTTCAAAAAATTTATACTTTCTCTTAATTCTATTGTCCGATTTGTTCAATAGACGGCAATATTGTAATTGATTAGCTTCTATTTTAGTAGGTTTAAAAACTGTTTTATCGTTATACTGCGCATTAACTTTTTCTGCGAGTTTATCTATTTTATCTGAGATTTTCTCTACAAGGTGTGATTTCATTACTTGAACTTCTTGCCTAACTTCCTCAGCTTTATCAATAACGGCACCTTTAGTGTAATTTAAAAGCTATAATTTAAAATGTGTTACAACTTATAGCATTAATATTTAGTAATTTTTTGTATTCTTATTTATATATATATATATTAACCTTTATCATTTCTTTATGATCTTCTTCTAGACTTCTAAAATCTTCCTTTCTCTGTTCTTCATTATTGATCATCATGCTGAAGCTTAAATCTCTCATTGCAGTATCAAACTCATCTGTCAGGCTCATAAACTTTTCTTTAATTAAACTTGCTTCCACAGTCTTTCTAAAATTTACCATCTTTGATAATTCCTCCTCAAATGTTTTAATTTTGGTTAAAGAAATATTAAACCTTTGAAAAGTGTTATAATAATTTTGATCTTTGAATTTGCTCTCATTAAGTTTCTTGGTTCGCTTTAATTTTTCAATTTCACCTTGGGCGTCAATCACACGTACCATTAATCTAGCACATATATTTTTATTATATTGAGCCGCATCGTGAAGTTCAATAATTTCTTTTATCAACTTAACTGCGATGTCGAATAACGGAATATATGGTGCGACAACATCAACTACCTTTTTTCCTGCCATATAGACCGTTCCTTGGCTATATTCTTTTGCATGATCCATGAAGTTTTTATTATTACTACGATCATTTTCAAAGTTTACACTATACTTTATAACATCCCCTAAAATCCTCCATTCAAAAAAGGTTGAAAAATTTTCACCAACATCAACTTTGATGTAATCATTCTCATTAGTATCAATTACACACCATCTCATAATAGCATAGTCTAACATCTCATTTTGTACCTTTTCAGAACTATATTTAAACACATCCAAACTTAAACTAGTCATCGAACAGTGCTTAAGCCTACTTTTAATAATTTGGTTTTTGTCAAAATCCTCCGATTCAAAGTTGGTAATAAAAATACATGAATTCGACCATGTATGCAATGGAATTTCAACACTAGTTGGCAATTCGCCTGTCAATATTTTCCTTCCATAATCAATTTTGATATCACGAGAATGTCTGCTAAAATATCCATGTCCTTTGTCGAGTATAATCCAAAAAACTTTCGCACCAACAGGTATACTATATATATAAATAGGAAGTGAATATAACGTAATTTAATTAAAAAGATAGTACAAATACCTTTTATTATCAAGTTTATGGATGTAAGCTCGACATCCATATTGGTTTGCTAAATTGAATCTGATCATTACGTCCGTTGCCTTTTGTTCATTAATAAATAGATAACCAAATATTTCATAATTGTTATCTTGAAGGGGATTCTCGAATTGAATATTCATATGCGTTTGATTGACACGCGTGATTTTTGTGGAACCTGTCATGACAATATGATAATTATCGGAAGCTATACTTTCTATGTCATTCTGTTTAGCTTTTGGCAATATTTTGTATAGCGGAATTAAATCTTGGATTACTGTCTTGCAATCTTTTTCATGAAAGTTTTTCAATCGGGAATATATTTCATTTCCATTTACTATATCACCATTAAAATCCAAAAAGAATGTGTCTAAATCTTTTATAGATTCGTTCCATTCTATAAGCTTCTCTATAATTCTGGACTCATCTCCATCTATATTAAATTCAACAAGTTCATTAGTTCCAAATTGGTTATTATTATCAGATTTATAAATTTTTGAAAATGTAATGCCAAGAATAATGTTTTGAGGACAAAAATATCCAAATTTATCAAAAATATTTTTTAAATTGCAAAATGGATAGTCACTGTCAAGTGCTTTATCTACTGCTTTCGAAAAGCTTTCAGAAGGTCTTAATTTGTCCTTGTTGAATGTTAATTTAATTTTTTCAGATGCAATAAAACAATGAATTTCATTCGATTTATGCTGATTGTCAAATATAGGATGAAGATTTGTTAAACTTTCTGCCAAAAATGGGATCTCTGTGACATTAATATCGTCGATTTTAATATGATTCGCTAGAGTGAATGCCTCTTTTTTACTAATGGGTTGCCGTAAATGCATATATGATTTATCTAATAAACATATTTCAGGTATATCAAGAAATTCCAACGCAATTTCCAATCCATGCCTTATACGGCTTTGTTGAACAGTTAAACCATAATTAAAATGTAGGTCGTTAATCCAATGACACAAATATATCATAGGCGAACTTTCGGTCCATGATTCAGGTTCAGGGATAGGATTATTAGTTATGTACGGAACAATCTTATGCTCATAATCAATATTTCGAAGCTCCCCGCAAACTTTAATTATTTCTTGCTTAATTTCATCTTTGAGTAATGTATATGTTGGGATAATTTCATTAAATGCAATAACATGTCCTTTATTTTGGCCATAAAAATCTTCCATCCAAGATTTTAATTCATGTCCAGAAATAATTTTTCGATTATTCGGATTATTCGTATCTTCAATTCTGAAAATATTATCATATGGAACTTGGCCAAATACGTTAGACTTTCCTGAAATAATTTGATCACTAATCCAATGTAAATTAGCCTTTAAAATGTCAAAATCCTGTATAAGTGATTTTCTGTCTTTAGGCCATGCTGATTTTATCCTAAGTGCCCCACCAATAATAACTTTTTTAGCTATATAATCACCATATTTTTCAAAGGCTTTTTGAAGAGCCCCGCGAATAGACTTCTGATCTGGATTTTTTAGTATCTCTTCAATAGTCTTAACAAATTCATCAGATATTTTAAAATTTTCATAATCAATATTGAGAAGCGGAATATGTAAACAAATGTCAATTTCTTCTAAATTTTGGATAGAAACACATTCATTTTTTAAATTTTCAAATATATTGCTAGGTTTATTTGTATAAATTGTATAAATTTGGCCAAGTTGTTTTATCCTATGAGGGGTGATTGTTCCATCTTCTGTAAGAATTTCTTCACCATAGATAAAAGTATTGCCGTAAACTTTCAATCCTTTGTGTATATTCCATTGCTGTGAAAGAAACTTAATGATAAAATCATCAGACTCCTGATAAATTTCTTGTATATTGTTTGTATCATCGTTTTCTTCAAACGACGTCCCAATAAGAGTGCTTTCGCCACACAAACTAGGTGCTGAGTGAAATTTTCTTAATTTATAATAATTGTTAATATCCAAATCCAATTCGGAAGTGTCTTCATACTGAGTATCTACTGATATGACTTCTTTCATATCGACTTGTTCAAGCTTCTTAAAGGCCATTAAACAATCTGGGCGTTTGTCTTAATTAAGTATACGTAAAGCATTTTATTAATCTGATTGGTTATTTAAGTCATGTGATTTGTTAAAATATATTGAAAGCAGAGATGCAATCTATTATAAATTTAAAACAATGAAATTTGCGGATATCCAGATCGCATCTCTACACAAAAATCCATCAGGTACACATAACATCGAATGATATTTCAAGATCATGTTAAACCAAAGTAAACTAGTTCTCTGTAATTTTGCTTTTTAACACTATCATCCTCTGAATTTGATAGCTCTGCTGACATTAACCGCTATTTTAGTTCTAATGACCTTATACGCAATATGATCTAGGAATTTAACATTAATGTCAAATTAGTCTATGTACACACCACAATCCTCACCTGGATAATATTGCCAACAATCTTGATATAATTCGCAATATTTAACGGGAGTTCCAACAACAGGTTCTTCTCTTTCACCTCTGCTAATATATTCAACCATTTTCATGGGTAATAAACTTTTGAAAGGCTGGATGCCACTAGAAATTTGCCAGAGTAAAACCCCCAAACTATAAATATTTGATTTGTCACCATATATATTTGAAGAGTTATGATCTTTGCCGTAGAAGCTTTTGACAAATCCTTTTTCAAATGTCAATGCTTGAGGCTCAACGTATGGAATATTTTCAAAATCATCTGATTTAAATATTGTTAATCCTCCAAAGTTTGTTAATTTTAGAATACCATCGTGAAGGAGAACATTTTTTGGATTCTGTTGGTTAATTTTAAAATTTAAAGAATCGACAGTTAGATTACATTCTTGCTTCTTTTAACATAGAATTCAGAATCGATTTGAATTCGAAAGTTAACCCTTCGATTACTGTTTGAAAAGCAAGTTTATATAAGGTACGTAAAATTTGTTTGAGATCAATTCCGACCTTTAACCTTAAAATCGGGTTGAGAATAAATCAGCCTTTAACTTTCGCTTCAAACAATTCTGAATTTTAGCAATAAAATTGGGTTAAAAAAAAAAAAAAAAAAAAAAAAAAAAAAAATCAAATTTACCAAACTCGAATGAACAATTTGTTGATTATGAAGGAACTCCAACCCTTTGATCAATTGTGACGCTAAATTTATTCTTTTATCCCAAGTTAGCTCAGTTTTCTCCAAATAATTTACAAGGTTTCCTTGATTTGCAATTTCTATTAGTAGGTAATATTCGAGGGACCTTGCGCCTTTGATATGTAGATATATGTTATGAAATTAAATTAAATTTTTGGAGTATTCTGACTAGAAAAAATATTGTACAATATATGAATTTTGTTAAGAAAAAAAAACTTAGATATTTCAATTTCCAAAAATTCATTCAGAGACGAGACTATTAGCTCGCCTATTATGTAAAGTGAAACATGAAATTTCTAGCCTTTCACTTAGAATACTCATACAAATTATGAATTCATTCTCTTTCTTATAGCATTTTATTCATTTGATCAATGTTTTATAAATAAACTTTTATTTTTATCGCATATTATTTGAAATACTTACTTTGAGAAATAAATGCCTTGATAATATTTTCATGTTCCAACACCTTAGAAAAAATATTTTTTAATCGCCTTTTCTTTTAAATATAAAATTTTCATAATTATTGATAAATTTACCGTAGAAAATATGGTTTTCATTTCATCTTCATCGATATTTATGTCATCAAAATCGGTCAAGGTGTGATATGTAAATTTTAAACCGTTCAAATCCACACAAGGGCGTGAATGACTGCCACCTTTTTTACGTTTTTTGGCATCTAAATTTAAGCCATCGAATTTTATTAAATCGATACTGTTATTCTCGATCGCCTGTTCTAACCAATCAATCAAGCATGTCATGCTATTAAATATGGGTTTCGAATTTTAATGAAAAAAATGGTGTATTTCTTTCCGTTACAACATGATGCTGATCTATATTTTATTTATTAGGGTTAAATACTATAATGACCCGACTCAGGTTCCGGCTGATCCACAATAGTCAAAATTGGCATTTCCTAGGAGTTTGTATTACCAAGTCCCAGGTTTCACACTGAGTGGTGCTCGTTTCTTGATACGTAAACAGTAACCTTATTTAGAGTTAATAAATTATTAAAAAAATCATCATAATTATCGCTATATGGTTTTAAGATGAATGTCCTTCGCTCATTATACGAATCCTATAAGAATAATGCCAATGAATCCATTAATACAATACAGGAAGAACCTGAAGACATTACTATCATCATTCACGTGGGCGATACTGAAGAAGGACATGACTCTGGAAACATTATGCCCAATATGAGTCTCTCGGAAGTGCGCAATCTTCTCAAACATAATAAACAAATTTGTATGGGTGATAATATGAAATTTCTCAAAATCAAAAACAACATTCAGTTACAAATTAGTTCCGACGAAGAAGAATGTAAAGTAGTATCCAAAATTCTTGATAAAAATAATTGTATTCATATCCTCAAAGACCCAACAAAACCAAGTTTTTTCCAATTCATAAATAAACATCATCTTATGCGTGGGCGTTATTTTACATCTGACAGTATGGAGGTGAAAATTGCACAACAGGATGCATTTAAGTTCAAACAAAATTGTAAAATTTTTTCTGAATTAGAAGTTTCGAATAATAAACACACTCTTTATTCAGAAACATGTAAAGAAGAAATTGAACAAATATTCGTGAGGCATCTTATTTCAAAAGCTAATGCATCAGTTCCTTTGGCGCCTTATTCATTTAAGTTTGGTGTTAATTTTGAAAATTTCCGCAATAAGAAGCAGCAGGTGTCAGATTCCTATGAATTTAAAGGTGTTAAGTGTGTGAAATGTAATATAACTATCTTTCGTGATCAAATTGAACCAACTGATGAGTTCAAAGATGCCATAAGTAAAGCCTTAGAACAGGAAACTGACGAATTAAGATTGGATGAAATTAATAAATTGTCCGAGAAGTTTGGAGATTTTTGTAAGAGTTTCATAAATTGTCGATATTTTATGCATTTAAACAGATAATTATTCAAATTCTATTTTTTAGTTCCCTTGGAAACTGATTTTGGCGGTATTATTCAATTTCAAACTGACTATAGTAGCAAGACTTCTATTAATTCTAAGAGAAGACAATTTGAATCAAACATCCAAGGATCCTCTCTAACTTATAATTCTGAAAGCAATTTATCGACATCCAAATATTATACTAATAAAAACTATGTCATTATTGGTGGTGATACACATGAATGCAAGGATATAAATATCGAAGATATCGGAAATCAAAAAGATTGGTTGAAATCATTAAGCGATTATAACAAGTGGGGACTTATCAATTATTCAAAAATAGTATCCGTATATGAATTGTTGGATGATGAATTACGAATGAAATTTCTTAGAATCTTTGGACAGAAGGTGCTTTATTATAAAACTATTGAAGTAGATTTTAATGAGAAAAATATTACAGAGCCCCAAAAAAGGCCAATCACTATTCCCACTGATATACTTAGAAATATGAAGGAAAATAAACAGGATTATCAAATATATGCAACAGTTTTACATAATGTAGATGAGGTTTTTTCTGTTCATATAGAATATTTTTCTCCAACTAATCCATATTTAGTTATACTATGTGTCAAAGAAAAAAAGTCGTCGAAGATTTTATCTTTTAACAAGAAATACAAAATAACAGTCGCATGGATGATTGTTGGGTTTCACTTAAATTTTAACTTTAAACACTCCTTATTTAAATTAAAAAGTTATACTTTAACAAATCCAATGCAAAAATTTTATAATGATCCTGAGCTTAATGATTCCAATGAATATACTGATGAAAGCTTTTCCGAGATATTTAAATCGCATAATAGTAGAACTTATTGTCTTCTTGGAACTTGTGTTTTTCGTCATCAAGATGACGAAAATGAGGAAATTGCTACTAGAATCGTCGCTGGATGTCACTTTTGCAAAAATGATAATCGAAGCTGGAAACCATGCTTTTATGCGTTTGATCTAGTAAGTGGTTTTTTTTCTATCTCTGTTTTCTTAAATTACAATATTTATTTATTTATTTATTATTGATTATTTAAGAATAAAAAAAAAGTAGATATCTGTCAAAAAAACAAATTAGAAATCCATTGTGGCATTATTACTGAAAATTCTCATACGTTAATTGGGCCTGAAGAAGTGAAGTGGGATGAGTGCAAGAATAGGAACAGTCATACAATATATAAAGGCAAAGAATGGGAAAAATCCGCTAAAGAAGGTGAACAAGAACTAATATTTGCCAGTCTTTTATATGAGAAACACAATTGTGAACAATGTTCACCTGTGTTTATAAATGTTAATCCTAAACATCCTATAATGCTCTCATTTAAAAAACAAGATATGAAAGGTCAAATTTCTTATCTTGTTGCTGATTTTTTTTAAAAATTATTTATAATTCTATATCTATAATTATTTTTTTTTTTTTAATCTAATAAAAATAAAGTAACAGAACTAAGACTTTGAAACGCATCTATAAAATATTACTCCCATAAATACATTTAAAACTGGAAAATTAATTAGAGTGTGGTTATTAGGGATGGGCAAATCGCAAATTTTTGGAATTTTCTGCGCAGGCTGCGTAGGATGCGCAGCCTGCGAATGAAATGCGCATATCATCAAAAATTTTTTTAGCTGCCGTTTCACGGCAGATTCTCAATTTTGATTGGCTAACGGCTATGATCGACAAAATTTTGTAATTTTTGGCCGGAATTAATAACGGGCATGCGTGTGATTTTTTGGATCCCGCGCGAGATTTTTAATATGATCCCCAATTCAGGCCAGCCGGCCCGCATTAACATAATTTTAAACCTACGATGTAATCCTATCACGCGCGTAACCCGCATCCTGCGCGGATATTTTGGAAAACTGTGATTTGCCCATCACTAGCCGGAATTGACTTTTTTTTATTCAAAAATAGGGGATGGCTAAAGCCAAGTGTGTTTATATGTTTTTGATTGTTTAATTAAAATTAGGGTAAAGGTTAGTTAGGGGTTAGGGTTAGGGCATGTTTTATAGGTAAAATTGTCTTCCTGACATTTTTTATTAATGCTCCAAGACAGGTTTAGATACTCGTTTCTTGTAGTTTTCACGTTTTTCGCTTTTTTTCTTTGTTTTTTTTCGCTTAATGCATAACTGTGATTCATTAGTAAAATTTGATTGATTTTGACATATTGTCGCTCTTAGCCAGTTACAAAAATCAGTTGTAACAATTTTGATGGGCAGCTAAGTATATAGGAAATATCTTTAAGATATTTTACTCATAAAAATACTAGTATATTCAAAATTGTATTTATTATTTGTAGTCTTATTTCGATTTTGTATATAAATATAAAAAATATCAAGCCCGCATTATGCAAGCTGGCCAGAATTATGCTGGCCGGCCCGAGTTATAAAAATTACACTGCGCAGTCTCTCAAAAATTCTGTGCAGGCTGCGCATCCTGCGCAGTGAAATAATGCGCAGCCTGCGCAGTGGCCCATCCCTAGTGGTTATCGAAGTAAAATCTTAAATGAAAAGTTTAAGTTAGCAATTTTGTATAGAAATCTTATAAGTATCCAATAAATGTATAATAGTGCAAAAAAAGACAGTGTGTTTTATAGTTATTTACTAGTAAGCTAGATATTGAGCATGTGGCGGCTTCGCCGCCCTATTGCATAGTTATTAGAGTCAATAATTCAATTTCTAGAATTGATTATAGTAGAGTTGGCTCGAAACGAAACCTACCCGAAACTAGTTTCGGATTTTTTTTTAAAAAAAAATTGAAACCCCGAAACTTTAAAAGTAAAATTTATACCAAGTAAATTAATATTCATCGCTTAAGTAAAGTTATTCGAAGATCAACATACATATATTTTGAAGTTTATACAAATCGGATAACTTATTATTAGTACACTTTTGCCTTTACGTTCAACAAATATGATTTTTAAAAAATTTTTGATTTTTTTTTTATCAAACGTAAAATGCAAAAACATATTAGTAAAAAGTTATTCAATTTGTATAACACTTTTGGGATACGTGTATTTTGATCTTCCGAACAACCTATATTATACAATTAATATTAGAGATGGGTCCCGAAACCCAAACCTTCCTAAACCCTTTAGATTTAGGCTATAGTATTAGCTAGGTTTAAATATTATATTCTTTATCTAAATCCCAAACCCCAAATCCTAAACTAAAACTCAAATCCCAAACTAATGCTAAATCCCAAACTAATGCCTAAATCCCAAACTAATTTTTTCTCAAACTAAATTTTAAATTCATTACTACATTAGTCATCTGAAAAGTCATGTGATTTTTTATATAAAGTTAAATAATAAAGTAAATATTATATGCTTATATCTAAACTTTTTTTATATTAAATAAACATTTTTGGAGCTCTAAGTAAAGTTGCAAAGCTCATCAAAACACATCTAATGGTAATCAGACCAGTAAAATTGGTCTAGTTCTCAAGATATCATTAAAAATATTTCGCCAACATATAAAATTTCTCATTTTTTTAAAAAAATTTTACATGTTAGTAAAATGCTTTTTAATGATATTTCGGGAACTATTAAACCGATTTTATCAGTCTCGCCACCATTAGATGCATCTTAATTAATTCGTGATCCGCAGTGAAACAACATAGTAAATAGTGGAGATATGTTTACTATATATTTTTATTATTTTTAGAATCTGGCGTTTCCCAAAGGAAAACTTTTTTCTTTACTAAATAAAATGCTCTTCGATTTCTAAGTAAAATGGTAAAAGAGAGTCTTGTGATTTTAATGATGGTTGAAATGTTTAAATTAGTCCAGTGGATCGCGAGATATGGGTATTTTTATCTTCGCGACTATATGTTTTCTTCTTGAGAAAAAAACATATAATTGAGAAGACAAAAATACCATGTCTCACGATCCACTGGGCCGATTTAAACGTTTCAACAATCATCATAATAACAAGACTCTCCTCTACCACTTTACTTAGAAGTCAAAGAACGGTTTACTTAGTAAAGAGAAAAGCTTTCCTTTGGAAAACGCCAGATTCCAAGCATATATCAAAAACAATAATAATTTCTCCACTATTTACTATGTTGTTTCACTGTTCTTAGAATCACGAATTAACTCTAAAAACGTTTTACTTAGTAAGAAAAAAAAGTTTTATATGTAAGTATATAGCAAGTATATAGCAGTTACTATTTGAAAATTTTATATAATTTGTTTTGGATTTAGATATTGGTTTGAGATTTGAGGTTTCGGCATTAGTTTGGGATTTAGGTATTAATTTAGGATTTAGACATTAGTTTGGGATTTGGGATTTAGGCATTAGTTTGGGATTTTGGCATTAGTTTGGGATTTCAGAATTAGTTTGGGTTTAGGGACCCAACTCTAAATTAATATCAATTTATATAATAAGATTTTGGCATTTATATATAACAGTACACTTAACCCTAACCAATCAGATTCGAATATCATAATCTAACCATCCACAATCATAATCTACAGTATATTATGTTTTGCAATATAACTTAATTAAACAATAAAAACTATTTATTTTAAATTCACGAATAATACAAAATGAAAGACACACAGAGAACCTAAGTTTGTTATATGGAAATTAAGGTTTTGACAGTTTCGAGGTTTCTGATGAAGTTTCGGATTAGGTTTCGGAAGCTATAATCCGAAACCCGAAAGTTTTGGATTTGGCAAAAAAGGTTTTCGGGGCCAACTCTAGAATAAGTCAAAAATAATCGTTGAAGAATTTGGTAGTAAGGACACATATAATTTGCATTAGATTCATATTTGATCTTATAAATTATTTACTTGTATTGGAACAACTAGTTAACTTATAACAACATAGCAAAATTAATTTTATTTAAACTTTTAAAACCCTAATATATAAATAATATTAAAAAATTTTCACAAAAATAATTCGCAATATACGCATATATCTAATTTTGTCGATTTTCCAAGTCTTTTAACCATTGCTTTGCCGCATCATTTCCATATAAAGCAGCTAATCTTAATTTACTAACTCCAAGTTCATGATTTTTTGGAACATTAAACTTTCCATTTATGTATAAGTCAGCTAAGTTATATAATGCTGTATGATTTTTGCTATCAGCGGCCATCGTTAAGTATTTAATAAAATTTTGAATTTCATCTTGTGAGACCTTTTTTTTTCCAGTGATGAACGAAAATGCGTAACGTAATTGTGCTCCAGAGACTCCATTATCAGCAGCTTCTTTAAAGAGTTTAACAGCTTCCTCATGGTTTTTCTGAACATAATAACCTTCCCATAAATAGTATCCTTTCCAATATTTTGCTGTGTAATTTCCTATTTCAGCATTATCTACAAAACATTCCCATGCTTGTTTCCTTTTTTCATTTTTCACCTCTGCAAATTCACCTTTTTTTATTTGATGATGAATTTTTAATCCTTCATTAAGTGGCATGATTGTCTTTATATTACCAATAGTGCAATCTCCAAAATCTTCTTCAAAACCTTCAAGATCTTCTATATTATCTTCTGTTTCTGACCCTTCTAAATCTAGTGAATTATCAGGAAAAATTTGCGGCAGGGAGCCAGGTTCAACATAATTTTCATGCAACTCTTCTATTTGTATAAGCAACTCTCCCAATTTTATTCTTTGATCTGGATCATGATGACAGGCTTAAAGTAGCATGTAAGGGAAATTTAAATATATTACAGTATTAGCAAGTATTCTGAATAAAAATTACAATATATTCTACAGTATATATATACCTGATTTGATGATGCCTGCTAATTTTTGTTGAATTTCTTTTTCCTTTGGATGTTTTACTTTACCAAAAGTAAATTTCTCTCTATAACCACCTGTTACAAGGTTTTTTATTTCATTAAGCTGATCATTGCCATATTTACTGTACGGATATTTTTCAAATGAAAGTTCCCACAACATCATTCCAAAACTTTATAAAAAATTTAAATAAAATTTAATCTTAAAATAAATACAACTATTATATTTACAAACAATTATTATTCACCTGAAAATTTCACATCTTGTATCATAGCGTCTTCCTTCCATTTTTTCGGGAGCCATCCAACGTAAGACTTTTAGATCTGGCATTGGCTTGGATTTTTCATTAACCTCACGAGCCATATCAAAATTTGCGATTTTAGGTACATAACTCTCAGTTAACTATTTTAATAATTAAAATAATAAATATCTAAATTTGAAAATTTTAATTGCTAGTTATATTTCTTACGTACCATAATATTCTCACAACGAATATCGTGATGATACACATTTACTGAATTTAAAAATACAATACCACGACATATGTTGCGAGCTATAGCTACTTTTGTTACCCATCCAATATCATGCAGTTCATAAACGTTTCTCAAAGATCTTAACTCTGCCCATTCTAAAACCTGGACATCACTTCCTTCAATTTTAGATAACCCATGAAACTTGAGAATATATGGACATACCCCTAATTTGCCTAATAATGCTAAATATGTCTGATCTCCTGCAGCTTCGCTATGATTTATAGGTTTACATTCGACTTCAATAACTTGTTTAAACTTTCTCTTAATTCTGTCATCTGGTGAATGACAAATTTGTAATTGGTTAGCTTCTATCTTTTCTGGTTTAAAATATATTTTGCTGTCGTCAAGTCTATCTGCAATTTTTTCTAGTTTATCATCGAGTACCGATTTTATGGCTCGAATTTCTTGATTAACTTCTTTGGTTCGTTCAATGAAAACATCTTTAGTGTAAAGAAGAATCTATATGATAACAATAATATTATTAATATTAGTGATATTTCTTATTAGCTTTGTTAAATCATACCACATCTGTAGTGTAAAGTGGAATCATTGTAACAAAATTTGACTCGAATTTCCTTCATGACTAGACTTTTAATAACAATAAATTTTAGTAAATTATTTTAATTTTTATGTTATATTGATCTTATACACTACAGACGTGATTAAAGGTATTGTTTCTTATTTATATGCACTTATGCATTTTTAAATATTGACCTTTTCCATTTCTTCAAAATCTTCTTTTAAACTCTCAGCATCTTTCCTTCTCTTTTCTTCATTTTCAATCATTAGACTGAAGCTTAAATCATTCATTGTTGAATCAAATTCTTTTGTCAGGTTTATAAACTTATCTCTAATTAAATTTGCTTCAATATTCTTTTTAAAACTCCCCATTTTGGATAATTTTATCTCGAATTCCTTAATATCATCCAAAATATTCGTAAATCTTTGAAAGGTTTTATAAAACCTTTCATCTTTAAATTTTTCTTCATTAATTTTCTTTGTTCTTTTCAATTTTTCAATCGCTCCCTGAGCATCAATCACACGATCCATTAACCTGGCACATATATGTTTATTATATTGCGCTGCATCATGAATATCAATAATTTCTTTAATCAATTTTGTTGCGATATCGAATAATGGAATATATGGAGCTACTATATCAATAACTCTTCCTGCTATATTACATGCTCCTTTTGCAGAATCCATATTATTATTGGTCAACATTTCGTTAAATTTGTTTAAGATAAAATATGTAAATATTTTTTACGTTAGTAATTTTCAATAAATATTTCTTAAAATCGTTGTACGCTGTAACATCAAATTTTATCTAGGTATCACTGCAGACAAAGTTTACCATAATAATATTTGTAAATAAGTTCATTATATCCATAATCGATTAAGGCTGAAGAAGATTACTCTTTTTGTAAAAGTTTTAAATATGAAAATTCCTAATAACATTGTTATTTTTTCAATTATTTTGCTTGTGATATAATCAATTCAAATGAACCTACCAATTCGAAACAAATGTATACGTAACACTATATTTGTCATTTTTAATTGTAATAAAGTTTAAAATTTATTAAGTTACCTTGATATTAAAAGGTCTAGAATTTGGTTTCGTATACGTATCAGGGATTGAAATCGCAGCAGAATTTGTATATCTCGTCTAAGAAATTAGATTTATATTTTTGCAATATATATATGGGCTAGGTGCTGAGAAAAAGGCCCAAATTGACAATTTTTTCAAAAACAATTTTTTTACATCAATCAATTTGAATAAGATTAGAAACATTTTTCACTTAAGATGCAAAAGTAGTAGTATTAATAAAATTTTGAAGTATGGCTTTTTAAAATTTGCGTTTTTATGTTTTATTATAAGACTTATGAAAATTGATTTTTCGAAGATCTTTTTTTTTGTCAATTTGTGCCCTTTTCTAGTCCATATAGATTATAAAGTTTCCTCATAAAAATAATTATGAATCTATTTTTAGATGTCTATTGTTTCTTACTATATTTATGAAATTGATAATTAATGTTATCATTAAAATTATTTTACACTCAGCATTCCTTTAAAAAAATTTAGAAATTAAAATTTTTAGACCAATAAAATCATAATAAGTTAGTCATGTGAAATTCGAAAATTTTTTTTTTTTGGCCCAAAAAAAATTGATGTACTGTACGTGATGTTATACGAAACCGATGTTACGCAAACAATTCCTGTACTACGTATTGGCTCAAAAAATTTGGGGTTCCGAACCGAATGTAAATTTGTCATCCGGTTTTATAACTCAGTTCGGAACTCAAGTCAACTCCGTTGAAAAAAAAAAAGTTTACACAATTGCAATTTATTTTCAAGATAAGTTATCATATATTAACTACTGTATACATGGGATTTTTAACTTTAAAGTTATTTCTACTTACTATGAGTTTTCGTATGCCCTAATTTTGTTTGGACCCAAAAATTTGTTACTTTACAATAGTTATAAATCAATCAATTGATTTAATACAGTAATATATTATGAATAGTGCTCCGAACCAGTGTTGGCCTATGACCTGTTATGACCTATTGGCCAATTATAGGTTATGACCTTATGACCTGTTATGACTTATAAAATTTACTAATACATTATGACCACCTTGGTCATGTAAAGTTGGATATGACCTAAAACGGCAAACACTGCTCCGAACGGGTCGGGTTCGGGTTGAATAATTTTCGGGTTACCAAACTTTGTTAAACTAATAATATTTGCTTTGATATTCTTCATGATCCTTATCATAATGTACCATTAATAATCAAGTATAGATAAGTAAATGAGACAAACATTAATAATATCGATAGGAAAATGAGATGGCTAAAATAAGAACGATTGAGGAGAAAAATCCGAAGGTAACACCAGTAAGTGGAGTGTAAAAAACGAATAATTTTATTATGCTATTTAAAGACACTGGACTATATACAGTATATTAATAGTTATACTGTACTCTCATCATGTAGCTGAACAACAGCTAATATTCACATATATTAAATTTAAAATAAAATAGTAAAATTTGATTCTTTATTTAAACATTTGAAAATAAATAAAACTTTATAAATAATAAAAAATTTTCATAATAAAATTCTCATTATACACTTCTAAATTTTGTTGTTATATATCGTAATAAATTAATTATTTTCTATTTCCTTCAACCATTTTTTTGCCGCATCGTTTCCATAATAAGCAGCTAATCTTAACTTACTAATTCCAAGTTCATTATTTTTTTCAACACTAAACTTTCCGTTTATGTATAGGTCAGCTAAATTATATAATGCCATGTGATTTTTATTATCAGCGGCCATCGTTAAATATTTAATAAACTCTTGAACATCAGCTTGTGAGACCTTCTTTTTTTGTCCCGTGATAAGTGAAAATGCATAACGTAATTGCGCACCAGAAATTCCTTTATCGGCAGCTTCTTTAAAGAGTTGAATGGCTTCATCACGATTTTTTTTAACATAATAACCTTCCCATAAATAATATCCTTTCCAATATTTTGCAGTTGAATTTCCCATATCTGCATTATCTGTAAAACATTCCCATGCAATCTTCCTTTTTTCATTTTTTGCCGCATCAGGTTCATCTTTTTTTATTTTATGATGGATTTTTAATCCTTCATCGAGAGGCATGATAGTCTTTATATCTTGATGATCACTAATATTGCAATCTCTAAAATCTTCCTCAAAACATTCAAGATTTTCCACAATGTCTTCTGTTATAGATCCATCCAAATCTAGTTCTTTATCATTAAATATTTGCGGTAAAGCACCCCGTTTAACATATTTTACAGACAACCCTTCTATCTGTATAAGTAAAGTTCCCAAATTTATTCGTTGATCTGGATCACGATGCCAGGCTTAAGAATATAGTAAAAGGAAAATATAAATATATAAACAACTTATTCTGAATATAAAATAAATAAAAAATAATATATACCAGATTTGATTATTCTTGCCAATTCGTTTTGAATTTCTTTTTCATTTTGGTATTTTACTTTACCAAAAACAATATTCTCTCTATGACCACTTATTACAAGATTTTTTATTTCATAAAGCTGATCATTGCCATATTTACTGTACGGATATTTTTCAAATGAAAGTTCCCATAGTGTCATTCCAAAACTTTATCGTTACGTTATAAAAAATTTAAATAAATAAAATTTAATTCTTAAAGTATTTACAAAATTGATAACTATTAGGTTTACCTGAAAATTTCACATTTTGTACTATAAGGTTTTCCTTCCATTTTTTCAGGTGCCATCCAACGTAAGACATTTAAATCTGGCATTGGTTTAGATTTATCATTAACCTCACGAGCCATATCAAAATTTGCGATTTTTGGCTCATAACGCTCGGTTAACTATTTCAATAGTTAAAAGAAATAAATATCCAATTTTAAAATATTAAAATTGCTAATTATAAATGTCTTACCATAATATTATCACAACGAATATCGTGATGATACACATTCACAGAATTTAAAAATGCTATACCACGACATATATCACGAGCTATAGAAACTTTTGTTACCCATCCTATATCGTGTAGTTCATAAAACTCTTTTAAAGATCTTAACTCTGCCCATTCCAAAACTAGAACATCATTTCCTTCAATTTGAGATAACCCATGAAACTTTAGAATATATGGACATGCCCCCAATTTACCTAATAGTGCTAAATATGTCAGGTTTTCTGTTGTTTCACTATTATTTATAGTTTTACATTCGACTTCAATGACTTGTTTATACATTCTCTTAATTCTATTATCTGATGATTCAGAAAATTGTAATTGGGTAGATTCTATTTTGTTCGGTTTAAAAATTGGTTTCTCATCTGACGTATCCTTGGATTTATCGATGAGTGCTGATTTTATTGCTTGAATTTCTTGATTAACTTCATCGATTTTGTCAATGACAACATCTTTGGTGTAAAGAATAATCTAAATATATTACGATTAATATTACTTATTAGCTTTATTAGATTATATCACACCTGCAGCGTAAAATGAAGATCACTATAACAATTTAAAAAATCTTCTTTAATTCAAATTCTTTGGACAACTTTAATGATATAAAATCCGGCAAACCATTATTGTTATTTTGTTTTTGTGTTCCGTATGATCTTCATCTGCTACAGGTGTGAATTTATTTTTAATTTATATATGTTGACTTTTTTATATATTGACCTTTTCCATTTCTTCATTATCTTCTTTTAAACTTTTAAAATCTTCTTTTCTTTGTTCTTCATAATCAATCATCATACTGAAACTCAAATCCTTCATTGTTGTATCAAACTCTTCTGTTAGATTCATAAACCTTTGTTTAATTAAATTTGCTTCAAGAGTCTTTTTAAAATTTCCCATCTTTGATAATTTATCTTCGAATCCCTTAATTTCTTCCAAAATATTTGTAAATTTTTGAAAAGTATTATAAAACTTTTTATCTTTAAATTTTTTTTCATTATGTTGTTTTGTTCTTGTTAATTTTTCAATAGCTCCTCGGGCATCAATCACACGTTCCATTAACCTAGCACATATATGTTTATTATATTGCGCAGCATCATGAATTTCAATAATTTCTTTAATCAATTTTGTTGCTATATCAAATAATGGAATATATGGAGCTACAATATCAACAACTTTTATTGCAATATCACCAGCTCCTTTAACAGCATCCATATCTACAATGTTGGACGTCATTTTTTTGTTAAATTTTTTCAAAGATTATAAAATATGTGTAAATATTTTAACGTGTACTTCACTACTTTTCAACAAACATCTCTTTATAAGTAATTGTACTATGTATCATCAAACTTTATTTAGGTATCACTGCAGACAATAATAATATTTGTAATAATCTATTATATCCATAATAGATTGAGGCTGACGAAGATTGCTCCTTTTGCAGTTTATAGTTAATCAATCCAAATATGTCCTTGTAGCATATCAATTATACTACATAATTATCATTTGCGTCTCTTATTGTAAAGTTCGATACTTACAAGTTTTCCTATACATATTATTGTCATTTTAGCAAAGATATATACATTATTACATAATCGATCATTATCGAAATCAAAAAAAAACTTATCGAATCGGCAAAAAAAATCATTCGGTCAATTTTTTTATCAGATGTCCCAAAAATAATGAAAACAGCTGTAATAGCCCGGGTGGATTTTTATATAAAAATTTTTATCTATATAATTTTTAAAAAACCAGGCCGTCGGATCTGATTTAAAATTTCATGGATAAACCAAGTAATTAACTTTGTATGACCTTATTTCATAAATTCTTATCTTTACAGCTGTTTTCATAAATTCTGGGACATCTGGCAAAAAATGATCCGAACAAATATTGCCGGTTCGATAAGTTTGT